AAGCCCCTCCAGTTGGTCAGCCGAGACCCTCGCCCTATGTTTTGTGCCAAGCCTTGAACGTCCTACAGCAGAATCCAGCTCTGCTCCACCAGCTGGCAACTGGCAGCCCCCTACTGCAGCATATGCCGCTTCTTCCCATCCTTACCAACCCGCGAGCGCTGCAGGCATTGCTACAGATAGAACAAGGCCTCCAGATACTGTCCAGGGAGGTGCCTGAGCTGGAGCCATTTTTATGGGACTCAGATAAACCACGTGGGGCTAGAGGAGCCCCAGAAACTAGGGGTAGAAGACAAGCCCATAGAGAAGATTCTTCACAACACAACTTGGCCTGTCTTCAGCTCTTTCATTCCTTGGCCAACGCCTGTTCACAGTCTACCCAAACTGCACTGTCCTTGCCCCTCCTCATTGAAGGTCGCTACCAGCAAGAACTGGAACAGCTGAAAGCCTTGGGTTTTGCTAACCATGATGCAAACCTGCAGGCCCTTATAGCCACGGATGGAGATATCCACGCCGCCATTGAGAGGCTGCTTGGGGCTCCGCAGGCTTAGTCTCCCCAGTGGATGCTCTCGATACTCCATTCTGTGGAAAGAGAGGAAAAGGGGGAAGGGGAGGGAAGGCACTTATTTTAGAAATTCCTCCTCTTCGGATTATGAGCACTTTGGGCAGCCCTTCTCTTACTGCCCCTAGCCTGTTCTACATTAAAGAAGATTGCTTGGAGCTCCTGTATGTTGTAGATTTGAGGCTGGGTGGGCAACATCATCTTATTTGGAGAGGGACTTGTACAATGCTCTGAGACCATGCTTTACTTATTCTCATGTCTCTAAGCTAAGGATTCTTTTTTGTTTCAAACTTCATACAGGGCTGGGAGATGGCTCAACGGGTCATAGGTAAGCCGCTTCCAGTGCAAGCATGAAGACTGAATTCAGATCCCTAGCATCCATGTAAAAGCCTGGTACAGTGGTGCATCTGTAACCCTAGCACTAGGCAGTGGGATGGGAAACAGGAGGATGTCTGGAGCTCAGAGACCACCCAAGCCTAGCCAGTTAATGATCTCCATGCTCAGTCTCAAAATATAAGGGGAAAGCAGTGGCGGAAGACACCTGATCTTAACCTCTGGCCTATACACATACACACATACACACATGCGCACAAGTGTACGTACATACAGACACATACACTAAAAATAGGGCAGGTAAGTCCTGAAATGCTTTTGATGTTTTCACTCCCATTCATCAGCATTCAGGTGTCTTGCCAGCATTGCCATTACCTCTATTAGCTACTTCCAGAGTTAGAATCCTGGCTGTTACTCTCCCAAAAGTTCTGACCTTCCTAAAGACTTCTTGGGACCACTCATTTCTTTGAATGAATGTTTCTCTGTCTAGAGTATTTTTGTTTTTACTTTTCACTTCCCTCTGTGCTAACATTCTTCATTTGACATCTGCCTCTGTTTAGGCTCCTGTTCTGTGAAGTTAACCCTGTCAGAAGCACCATAACCCTTTTCTCCTACACAATGCTTGTCTTTGTTGCCTATCTGATGCTGGTCTATTTCTACAGTTTTTGTGGCTGAATTTTGATGTGTCACCCTCCCAGGGGCAAAACTTTATGAACCTCTGCAGTTAGGGAGTTAGTCCAATAGGATGCAGAAGCTTTTCAAAACTCTCCCTGAATTATTTTTCAAAATTTATTTATAGAATTTGACTTATAGATTCTCTTTTCTTTGACGAATGTACTTTTAATCCTCTTTAAGAAGTCAACTCTTTCATTTGATCCCTGGAGTATGCTATATAAATTCTTTCAAAGTTTATCTCTCAGAGGTTTTGGGCATTTTCATAGGGAACATTTTGGCTCATTTGTATTTATGGCTTCTAAGTTTCTAACAGTTGTGCTGTCCTTCTCTTTGGGTATCCTAGGGGTGTCTACTGCTTAAAATTTCCAAATGTAGTTCAGTATCTTTCCCATGGCTCATTCTTACTCTGAATCCTTCATTTCTGCTCATGATTTTGCCATACCCCTGATGACCAAAGCCAAGTTTCACTCACTAACAGATCAATAATGGGGCATTTCTCAACCTTGCCAACAAATTCTACTCAAACCTCTCTGAGTGCTGCTCCTTTTTCAACCTGAAGATAGACAGCATTAATCTTGTGGTAAAGGGTGACATCCTGAGAATATCAGTAGCTGCTATCCACCAAGGTATAACAAGGATCTAGCATCCATAAATCCATTAACAACAATACAACAATGATTTCCACCTGAACCATGAGTCTAGCCACAGGGGCCTACATGATGATGGAGCGAGGTGAAACTTACTTCTAGCATCTGAAAATACTTCCCTTCCCATCCCCATCCTCCACATCAGGTACTCTCCACTGCTTCCTGGGGTCAAACTCACCTCAGAATTTCAGACCAACGCCTTTATATGGTATATATATTGTTATGTCCAATCTGAAGCCAAAATATCTATGAATGAATTCCAGTGCAAAATCATAATATACTTAAGATATTATAAGGTTTTTTATTGAGGGGTGCACCTCAATTGCATAGTTCTCAAGCAATGTCATGTTGCAATATAAAAAAAATTGAACATGCCTGATAGGAAAATACAGAATTAAGTATACAGCAGATTAATTTCTGGAAAGGATGACCTAGAGATATTAAGTCCTCCTCTACAACCTTTGGGTGTCTAGGCCCATGGAGCATCACATAGCAATTAAGTTACAATGTCTGCCTCCTAATTAACAGCCCTTCTCAGCCTTAAGGAGGCCTGAGACTCAGATGCACATCAGCTCAGGTTTGACTGATGGAGCTCGTGGGAACTCACAAACTCTAGACTGACAGTTGTGGAGCCTTGCATGGACTGAGCTGGGCCCTCTGAATGTGGGTAACAGTTGTGTGGCTTGGACTGTTTTTTGGGGGGAGTGTCCCTGATATGTAGCACTATTACTAAAAGACCCAGAGACAGATATTGGGTTCAAGTTTCAAGCGGAAGATCAGAAAAGCATAGCAGCCAAGTCAGTAGATCTTACCTCAACCCAGCTGAAATGGCGATTCTGTCCCCACCAACCCTCACTTTGTTATTCCTAGGACACTGTATCTGGAACTCCCTCAGTGATTTTCTGCTGGATGTCCTAAACTTCTGATTTGATGATGTTATGTTATCTGCCTGTGTGGTAACCTATCATTTGATTTTTTTCTTTTGACTTGTTATATACTTAATAAACTCACTCATTCAAAGCCTAAAGCATGAAAATCAGGGATCATTGTCCACACTATACAGAGCACCATGTTAAGCTCTGTTTCATACAAAATGATAGGGCACGGAGTATGACAACACAGAAGTAGAACATCCCTTCTCGAGCACCTTGCTCCAAGAATCACGGAAGTGCAGATAAATAGAAAACAAATTGAGCATGCATCCAGGGCTTCGAGTTTTAAGAGGGAGAACATGTATGCATGATCCTAGGACAATGGAATCATTGACAAGTTTCAGCGAGGTGAAAAGTGACATACATATTGTGAATTGTAAAATGCCCACTCTGCTGTTTGTAGATGGAGCAAGGGTGTAACTTCTTCCAAAAAGACCTTGAAATACTTATGAAGAGATAGATAATAGGTTGGAGCATAGTCAAGCTTGATGTCAGAACAAAGGTGAAAATGTAACACACACACATACACATACACTCTAACACCCCCCACAATCACACACATGCATGTGCACGCGCTCACACACACACACACACACACACAATCATACCTCTACCAGAATAACTTAGGAGCACTTCAAACTCAAACGTTCAGTTCAAACGCTGGACTGTTTTTGCTACATGGCAACATAAGAGAACAGAACACACATAACCAGTTTCTGCTCTAACATCCATGTTTTGGTGGTGCCATTTACATACATGAATACGGGGGATACACTTTTTATAAGGTTCCAGAGCTCTTGTGACTTAAGATGTAGTACTTGTATAAAGGATGGTTCTGAGTTTCTAAATCAGTCTTGAAGAATTTTTTTTCTGTTTTTAATCATTTTTTATTTTAATTTTAAATAGCTTGTTTTACATGTCAATCCCAGTTCCCTCTCCCTCCCCTCCTCCCGCACTCCCCTTCCCCCCCACTCTCCCACCCTATTGCCAAATCCTTCCACATAGGGGATATCTAGAGTCTGTCATTTCACTCTGGGTAGGGTCCAGGCACTCCCCTAAGAGAGTCTTGAAGAATTTTGAGGGATTTACAATCCATGTGTGTGAATTCACAAGATTATTATATATATTGTTCAGAGTTCAGAATTATAGAAATCCCTGTATGTATATTATATCCATTAATATATTCTACAATCTTTACAACTCTTTCTTTTCATCTGTAAACTAAATTAACTGGCATTTTTCTTTCCAAATTATTTAAATTAAATATAGTACTACTATAAAAACAGGAATAATTCACAAAAATTGATTTTTCTTCATGCATGCAGTTAAAAAATTGAAACAAGAAAGGAACAACTCTATTTAGTCCAACAAGACAGGGGACAAAGGGATTAAGGAGAGATGCTTGTCTTTTTATTCATGTTTTAAGCAAGTGAAGAAAACAGGAAGAACAATGATCTGAAGAAGTGTAAGCATAGAAAGAAGTAATTATAAAGACAGGATTAGTTAGAATTGGTAAGTACTGCACAAGGAAAAATACAGTACACTGCCCTTATTCAGAAGCTGTGAAACACAAGGGTGCTAGGAAATGCCAGTCCTTCAAACATCTATCAGTAAGAAATGCAAATCTCAGTTATGGTGTTGCTCATTAGCGCAGACATCATCAAGTTCATCTGCCAAAGTGTATTACAACTAAAGCAAAAGAAGCCTTGATTTTCCAGCGGGTTGGTAAGTCTCTTCCCTTTCCTTTTCACCTGTACTTTGTATGTGGATAGAATGATCAATCACTTTTCCAATAAACAGGGGATAAAAGTTTCACCAGATCAATGTTGCCTAACTTTAGCTTTCAGTGTACACTCATTGTGTCTTTCCCAAAGAAAGGAAAGTAAGGAATTTGTCCTGGATCTGCTTGGTCTTCACTCCATAAACTACTGGATTTAGAGCAGGGGGGATGGCCACATAGAAGTTGGCAAATAAGATGAGAATGTTACGAGGGACACTGTACCCAAAACGATGAGCAAGGATGGAGAAGAAGGCAGGTGTGTAGAACATGAGGATGACAGAGACATGGGAACCACATGTGCTCAGGGCCTTTTGGCGGGCACCCTGGGAGGAGAGCAGAAAAACTGCCCTGAGGATGAAGATGTAGGATACAGCAATCAGGATGACATCTGAGATGACAGTCATGAGGGGGACAGAAAACCCATACCAGACGTTGATAGAGATATCTGCGGAGGAAAGCCTGGCAACACCTATGTGCTCACAATATGTGTGAGGGATAACACGGGTCTTGCAAAATGGCAACCGCTTCAGCAGGAAAACATCTGGCAGGATGACTGAGAAGCTCCTCACAACGATGCTCACCATAATCTTGACAATCACCTGCGGAGTAAGGATGGTGTTGTACCTCAAGGGCAAGCAGACAGTCACATAGCAATCAAATGCCACGGCTAACAGGATAGCCGAATCCACTACAAAACTAAAGTGCAGAAAAAACATCTCCGTGAGACAACCAGAGAAGGTAATTTCTTGTGAGCCAAACCAGAGGTTACTGAGACATTTGGGGTCTGTGCTGGCCAGCATGGACAGGAATGTAAACATGGGCTCATGGAGGCTCTGCTCCAGTGCAATCAGGTAGAGAAGTATGCAGTTACCTGCAATAGCCACAGCATTGATGACACAAAAGGAATCCTGATCTAGATGTGAAATTTTTCTAAGCCAGGTATCCCAACAAGGACGAAGGAAGTTGGGTTGTAACAGCTTAGGTTGTACACAGCCTCTGTGGGATCTGCTGGTTCTTGAGCCTGAGGACAGATTTTTTTTTTACATTTTTATTATATATTTAAATTAGGAACAAGCTTGTTTAACATGTCAGTCCCAGTTCCCTCTCCCTCCCCTCCTCCCCTGCCCCCATCGACCCTGTATCCTATCCCCTTTCTGCTCCCAAAACTTAGAAAACACATTTGCAGGGGCTGTGTTTTCAATGGCCATCTGCATTTCTTCAGGTGAATGAAATGTATTTGCTTTGGCTGGAAAAGACAAGTGCCAATGACAAATTAAGAGTAACTTACTCATGTAAAGAAGAGTAACTTACTGGGGACCTAGAAGACATGAGGACCTAGGTTTCTTTTCCTGGGCATAATACTGCAGATCCCCACTTGCTGGTACCAAGGACTTAGTGTAGAACTATTATGAATTGCCCGCCAAGTCACTTCCTTGCCCTTTGAATGGTTTTGTATATTTATTATGGTTAATTGCCTAGGTTTTGGATAAGTGCCAACTGTCTCTGACTTTTACCTTTCTATGACTCAGAATCTGTAGGTGCTCAACAATGGAGGACTTCCTGCCATCGATGGCCCAATTATCATTCCCTTAACCTGAAAAAAAAAACCTTTAAAATAGATCACAAAAACTGAGTTAGAATTCAAAATTTCCAATGTCAGTGCCATCCCTAAGTGTGGGATCTATTTAGTGTAAAGCTGGAGATCCTTCTAGACACCAGCAGACAAGAAAGGAAAAGTTTGAGGCAAAACTTCTCTATGATTCTTTACTTTTGCTCTAGGAGATGAGACTCAGCAGGCACTTTACCAGGATAAACTCCTCTGTCTGGCTTTTTGATTATGGAGGCTCCTCCATGCTGGCAGGGGAAGTGTCTCCTCTACTAACCATGGAGAGGTGAGAGGTCACATCAGGTTTAGGATATAGGCCCTAAGTGCCTAAACTTTCGGAGTTTTTAAAAAGCATCTTTTGGGTTCATGGCTTTTTCCTATAGTTGAGTGTATATTGCTCCCCTCTTCCCGTTGTCCTCTGAAAGATGCATGCTCTTGTATTTGCATCCTCAAAAGCCTATAAACTAAACCAAACCACATGTCAATCACTGAAGCCAAAGCTCCCACAGCACCCAGCATGAGAACCTGCTCCTCATCCATCCTTCTTTCATTAGCTTTCCTCCTTGATCACTCAAAGCCATCAGTTTAATTTATCAAACGTATTGTCTGAAACACAGGATTTACCCCGTAAAAGTCAGTTGTCTTCTTTCTCTCAGTGCAACTTCACTCAGTACAGCATTAAAAAATAAACTGAAGATTTTAAACTCTGTATACAAGTGTAAGTGAAAGTGGATATGTAGATATGAGTGCAGATGCCTGTGTAGACCAAAAGAAGAAGTCAGATTCCCTGAAGCTGGAGTTGCAGAAGATTGTGATCTGCCCTACAATGGTGCTGAGAACAGAATTCAGGGTATTTGGAAGAGCAGTACTCTATCTTAACCTCTGAGCCATTTCTTCACTCCCAGCATAGGACTTTAAATATGTGTGCATTTACCTGATTCCTCTCCTTCCTCACTCCTCTCCTTTTTTTCCCTCACCCATGCATCTCCCTCCTCTTTAAAAATGGCCTACTTTAAACAGTCTTAATCACAAGCAATTTCTGACTCACATAAAGACCTTTATATATTGCATATTAATATAAACACATATCAAAATGAAGAAACACCATTGGTGAATGGAATGGCAATGAGACTCAACCTACAGGCATGTATTCATCTTGGAAAAAGGAAGAGCTTCCTGCGGGAATGCTGACTTGTTACCAACACTCTGCACTAGAGTGTAACTGTTCCCTGTTATAAATGATTCAGAAAGAATCTCTGTCCTCCAAGATCTCCTGAGCTAATTGGGAGCATGGTAAGGGGGGAGTTAGGAGAAAGAGAAGGGGAGAAGAGGAGGGGAGAGGAGGACATGAGGGAGCAGGAAGATTGAGTCAGAGGAAGAAGAGAGGACATCAAGAAAAGAGATACCATAATAGAGAGAGCCATTATAGGTTTAAAGAGAAATCTGGCACTAGGGAAATGTCCAGAGACCTACAAGTTTGACTGTTGGCCTCTCAGCTATCAGTCTAGGGTCTATGAACTCCCCCTTGTTCAGATCAGCTGTTTCTGTGGGTTTCACCTGCCAAGTCTTAACCCCTTTGCTCATCACTCCTCCCTCTCTGCAACTGAGTTCCTGGAGTTTAGTTCAGTGTTTAGCTGTGGGTGTTTGCCTATGCTTCCTTCAGCCATTGGATGAAGGCTCTAGGATGGCATACAAGAAAGCTGTTAATCACGTTATCAGGGAATATAACTTCAGTAGCACAGACACGGAGATCAACAATTAATAAATGGGACCTCCTGAAACTGAGAAGCTTCTGCAAGGCAAAGGACACAGGCAACAAGACAACCCACGCCCCATGTTCCCAATCTGTTCAGGAGATCTTGCCTCATTCCTCATCTCTGGGGTACCATGCATATCTCTCTTAGGTTCTTTCCTGTTTCCCAGACTCTCTGTCAGTGGAATTGCAGACTGGCACTCTCCTGATCCATGTCTAAAATCCATATATGAGTGGGTACATACCATATTTGTCTTTTTGTGACTGAGTTACCTCACTCAGGATGGTTTCTTCTTGTGCCATCCATTTGCCTGCGAATTTCGAGATTCCATTGTGTTTTTCTGCTGAGTAGTACTCCATTGTGTGAAAGTACCATTGGTCTACCTGTTTAATTTTGTGCCAATACCAAGCTGTTTTCAGGACTATAGCTCTATAATAGAGCTTGAAATCAGGGTTGGTGATGCCTCTGAAAGTTCCTTTATTGTTGTTTTGGCTACTTTGGGTCGTTTGTCTTTCCATATAACTTTGAGTATTGTTCTTTCAAGGTCTGTGAAGAATTGTGTTGGTATTTTGACAGGGATTGCGTTGAATCTGTAGACTTCTTTTTGGCAAGATTGCCATTTTTATTATGTTGATCCTACCAATCCAAGATCAAGGGAGATCTTTCCATTTTCTGGTATCCTCTTTGATTTCTTTCTTTAGAGAGTTAATGTTCTTGATATACAGGTCTTTTACTTGTTTGGTTAGCGTTATCTCCAGATATTTGATGCTGTTTATGGCTATTGTAATGGGTGATATTTCTCTGATTTCTTTCTCAGCCACTTTATCATCTATATATAATAGGGCTACTGATTTTTTGAGTTAACCTTGTATCCTGCCACTTTGCTGAAGGTGTTTATCAGCTGTAGGAGTTCCCTTACAGAGTTTTTCGGGTTACTTATCATAATCAAGGAAAACTATAATTATAACAATCTGTCTTCAACTCCATCAAAGACCACAGAAGGATAATATATAAACACTAGGATTGACAGAGGTATCTTACTGCCTGGACAGTCACCATAAGTTCCTCTGTAACGTTGGGATATCCATCTTCAGCCTATAGGCCACAATGTGTCTGGAACACTTCTCAGCAAAGCAGGAAATTTCAAACCGTCCATCTGCATTGGCAGTCTGTCAGTCATTTTTCTGTGTCCTGCAGAATGTCCCGTAGACTCTTCCATGAAGCAGGAACCCTGTAAGACTGAGTTCAGCAGTCACTTTTCTGTGGGTCCTGCATGTTCAGTTTATATAGCAACAGTCAAACAGTCTAGGCAAGAGCAGTTTCTTGCCCAAATGGCTAATCTTGCCATGTTGAAAGCAAACTCCATAACAAGTTTCTTCGATGCCCATCTTCCTCTCAGACGTAATTGGTGCTGCCAGGAGCAGACATTTCTCATTGTTAAGAAAAGCCCTAAACCATTTTAAATGCCATTTTCTGAAGGTTTTTGAGAGGTTTGAAGACTGTTTATCTATCTCAAATATATTTCTGTATATCTAGAAAACCTAACTTACCTAACTATAAATTTTGACTATTATAAGTAACTATCTATAGTCTGTATTCAATTATGCATTACGTTTTAAAAGATCAGTATAAGCACAATACTTAATCAAGAGGAGAAATATACATATCACAAAATTGACCTTGAATTCATATCAATAAAGGAAAAACAATACCCATAACATAATTTCCCTTTTTACCATTAACAAGAGATCGGCTGTGATCATTAGCCAATTATAGACAATCCCATTTAAATGAAAACAAAGATTTATAAACAAGATGGGAATCAGGACGTCGCTCATTCCAAACTGCTTCCTGCTGGAAGGGGCGCTGTTCACACCATGGGGATCATGACAAAACTCAGAAACCTGTATAAGTCCTTATTTTCATGATCTGTAAAGCTCCATCATCTTAGCTGTCTCAATTGTTGAAACGCCTGGCCCACTGCTTCCGGGGGTCTTGGTTCATCAAACCACAGAAGCCTGGAAGGAATCCTCAGCTTTTCATTTTCTGTGGAAACATAAACTAAAACTCCTTTTCCGAGTAACATATCCTTATACTTAAATTTTGAAGTCAAGGCATTTTCAAAAGATATAAGTTGAATTAATTCAGCAGCATTTATAATCAAGTGTACTTCAGTAGCTGTTCCTTCCTTAGCAATGAAAAAACTGAAAAACATAATAGCGTACAGTATCCAGACTCTCTGTGTATTTTCCATCTTTACGTGGCTTATTTATTTATATATTATTACTTTATTTATTTTAATTTATTTTTCTCTGAGACAGGATTTCTCTTTAGAAATCTGCCTGCCTCTGCCTCTGGAGAGTAAATCCTACCGGCGTGTGCCACCACAACGTCGGCTTTTGTATTTATTTACCACTTTGCCATTTCATTTTCTCTCTCAATCTCACGTATATTTTTAAACACACTGTAAACCTTTAGAGGTTTGTTCATCCAAGTCTGACTTTACTGTAAATCTTTACATTTTTCTGGCCATGTGTCTTATCTGTTAAAACCGCGGCTGTTTTAAACTGCTGCCTTCCAAGATGGCGGGCGAAAGCGTGATTCCAGCTTACCGCCTCAGTCCATGCTGACATCCAGCAAAAGCTGCCACTTCCAGCTGTACGTACACACCTTTTAATCATTAGCAGAGTCTCTTAAAACAACCTTTTTTTTTCTTTTTTTATGCCGAGTCAGGAAGACTCCCGTAAGCGAGCCGCGTGAATCTCGGCTTGTCGCTAGCAAAACAGAGCACACCTGAAAAAATGCTGCTACCAAAATCTGTGTTTCTCTCTGTTCTTCTGTTTCTAAAATTCCTTTAAAGCTTTTGTTGTTTTGCGTGGAAATTCAATCCCACTCCTGACACCCATTCTGTTAAGAGAAGCTTTATCTTTGCTAGCCGCTTTGGTTCTGCCGCATTGTAGTCCCCAAATAAACACACAGGAGGCTGTATTAATTATGAAGCTGTTGGCCTTGCTTGTTTCTTACTGGCTAGCTCTGACTTAAGTAATTACCCCATAATTGTTAATCTAAGTATTTCTCTTACCGGAGAATAGTTCCGGGCTCCTACCCCATGGCGTTACATCTCGAACTCTCTGTGTTCTCCTTCCCAGAATCCTCCTGGACTCCTAGCCCCACCTATCTAGATTCCTATTGGCCAGCAGTAATTTATTGATATATACACAGGACTTC